GTTCTCTTTGGATTGTTTGCATAACTCTTGGTTACTTTTTACAAACCAATTAACATGGCAGTTGCATGTGTCTGACAAAATATCTGATATCTTCATTAAGATACAAGTAAAATATCAAAAAAGCTGTAAATATTACATCATACCATTCAATTATATAAAAGTATGTGCAAATAAAATCATTCCTTCCTTGTCATGGTTAAACCATCAAATACTGCAAAATACTGTTTTCTAATAGTTGTTTTCTTAAGGTAGAAAACATACAAAACTACAAAATAGTTGACTGTCAGTAAAATATCTAAATTCCTAGAAATAAAATTTCATCAAGACCCAACAGGCTTTCTCAAATACCTATCAATTTTACACCTCTGACCTAGCTTTTTATACACCTGTAATCCTCCCTTTATAATATAACATATATCCTTCTTAGAGAACCTTAGCTTATTTTTCCCTGCCTTCAATTTAGCAAGTATATTTCTGTTGGTTTGAAACATGTACAGTTTATCTTCCTGAAGACATCCACAGTGTCCTTTAGTGAAAAGTTTCATTTTTGCCCCCCTCAAGACAGAAGGGTCCAGAAAAAGGACATCAAAAATAGTGTTGTTCCCATTGATAGCTACGTCTCTGATGTAGAGCACATTTTCTGCAAAATAAAATGTACGAATAAATGTAAGTACCAATGAATTTAATCAAGCAGCACAGGAAAAGTTAGCATCAAAACAATATAATTGTCATAGAAAGGCTTAGAGGTTAAGCTCATATGCCCCTCACTGCTAGGGAATTTGGATTCTTTCATGTGGGCAAGCTTTCCTTGGTGGCTTTAGTCAAGTGTCAAGTGCAAGATTTATCAAGTCTAGGACTTAATGTCTGAATAAAATCAAGTCCTAAAACATAACAACGTAATACAATAAAAATATATTTCAAGGAAACAGATTGACTGTTATAATGGTGATTGACCAACAGTTGATATTGAAAAAATGTTAAAGATAAAATATAATCTGCCTAAAATATTAAAAGACAGCCCTACTCTTTTTATAAATTGAACCTTACAGGTAAATTCTAATGGATATTTACAGAAGTTCCCTTAGTCCATGTGAGTTATTTATCTTTCATGCGAAGTAAATTATAAAATTGAAAGGAATAATTACAAATGTAAACTTATTTTCACTTTCATCTGTTCACTCACTATATACTCTTCGATTGGCAAAGTAACACTTTAATTAAAGCAAACTGAAAGCATGTCAAGTATATAAATATCTAGAAAGAAATAGCCAGGTAATGGTTTAAAAAAATGACTCACCAAATTTTTTGACACATTTTTTTGGAGGCTTCATGAAAGTGGCACATGATGGGCAAGCATGCCCTTTTATTTCCCTTAATTGTTGATTTGTCTTTGCCAATGACTTTACTATTTCTTTAACTTGCTTTGGATTTGTAGAATCTAATGTTACTATATGACCGCTTATACAAGTCTGAAATTCAATAAGATGTTCAACAGGTAATAAATTAAGAGACCAATAAAACATTATCAAAATAAATTAGCTGATGAGAAAGTGTTATGAATGAGTTGATAAAAGCCATAAAATGGTAATTGTATTTCATGAAATTGAATCCATTTTGTTGTAATGATAATAATTATGATTATATATCCTAAACTAAACACTGTATCAGGATGTGAAACACCAGTTAGCTCAATAGGCAGAGCGTAGGTATGTGAATCTGGTGATCTGGGTATGATTCCTGGACAGTGCAGTTCACTTTCATTGTGATATAAAACTGTCAGCAGATCATTACTTATTTCCAAGCATCTTCAAATATAAGATAGAAAATTTACATCTAAAATGCAATAAGAAGTGATCAACATAAAAGTAATCTAAAAAAGTGGCTAATCACTTAAAATATTTCTATTTTATTGATATTGAAAAATCATGAATACCTGGTTTTGTTCCACTTCAATGATCTTCCCTTCACAGCAGACCTTGTTGCTATGGGAGTTAAATGTCTTCAAACCACAACACATGTTGTGACCTGGTTCTTTCCTCACTGCACATACCTAGATGACTGTATATTGCAGCAGATATATGAGTTGTTGATCAGCTGTGTCCCGCAACATTCTAATCCGTTGAATTGCTATGAATCTAAATGATGCCACACAGTCTAGCAGTTTTTTTACAAACCATATATCTGCAAAATGCATAGACCACAATCAGTTTTCTAGGTGCATGTATTCCACCGTAATCATGACTGAATGTGTCTAAAGTTTCTAATCGTGACAGGAATGAAAAAATTTAATAACATTACACCTTCTCATCATAAGGGCGGAGTTACGGGTTTTACCGTAACCTTACGGTTTCTACCGAAACCTCTTCTCACCGGTGTCCCCGTAATGTACCTACCGCTAATGGTGGGTCAATAGCGATTAACTGTATTCCACCCCATAATAATGTCTTCATGTAAAGTCCCTGCTATTCTGGGCTTGGGGATAAGTCAGAGTTCCAAGTGATTTGTGCATTACACAAGCACTTCTGAGAAATTGTAAAATATTTATTGTTAAATTCACAAATCTAACATTTATTAATGTATATGATATGAGAAGATAATGAAAGAAATAGAAAACAATCTATTTTTTTTTCAATTTTTACTAATAAATACTGTACAATTAATAAAATAAGTTGAGGTTTTTTTTCAGAATACCAGTATTAATTAAGACATTTTCATGAAGATTTTCTGATATAGCAAATGCTAATGAAGGCACTTAGTAAAACAATTACATCTTATTACATTAAATTTGTAAGTTTTGTACATTGTACATCTAAATTAGCCTCTCCACAGTACTAGCAAATAAAATGGCTTGATGATGCTACTGTTACAAAGTAAGCCAGCTTGCTGCTTTATTATGAAGTCTGCCCAGATTCTAATCTGTAGTCTCCCCCAACATTATTATATGAGCCGTGTCACGACAAAACCAACGTAATGGGTTTGCAACCAGCATGGATCCAGACCAGCCTGCACAGCCGCACAGTCTGATCAGGATCCATACTGTTCGCTATCAGTGTCTCTACTCGTTATAGGGTTTGTAAACGAACAGCATGGATTTTGATCAGACTGTGCGGATGCGCAGGCTGGTCTGGATCAATACTGGTCGCAAACCCATTATGTTGGTTTTGTAATCTCCCCAACATTATTATATTTCAACATTAAAATCCCTAAAACTCATACATGCAGTCCCTTTGAGCTTGTCTAATAACTGACAGTTTCCTGTAAGACTAATCTTTAAACTCATGATTGACTGTTTCTTCAGACTCCAATTCAGATACTTACCTCAAACTATAATTGAAACAGTAACCTTATCAGACCCCAAACACAGAGCACAGAAAGTTCCCTTGACTCATAATAGGTAACAAGAGTTAGGTTGAACATAATAATAATATAACTAACTAGTGTGTCATAAACTGTCTTTAAAAACTTTCTAGATGGCATTTCTGTCTCAAATATTGCATGTTATATTTACATTGTAACACAGACCATAGATTCAGACAACATTAGAGCCGCGTCACGACAAAAACCAACAGAATTGGTTTGCGACCAGCATGGATCCAGACCAGCCTGCGCATCCATGCAGTCTGATCAGGATCCATGGTGTTCGTTATCAGTTTCTCTACTTGTAATAGGGTTGGAAAGCAAACAGCATGGATCCTGATCAGACTGCCCGGATGTGCAGGCTGGTCTGGATCCATGCTGGTCGCAAACCCATGATGTTGGTTTTGTCATGACACAGCTCAAATGTTATTACCCCTTACTAATTTTGTAATGTTAATTTACCATAGGCCAATGTGAGTTATTCTCACTGTTAATTCAAGGGTAACATGTGACTGAAAATTTTGTACTGTTACATAGGTGGGTGTTACTTTTTCACACATAAATCTCAAGCCAAGGATGCCCAAGGCGTTAGCCAAGGGTAACAGTATTTTCCTCATGATGATATTTTTACTGTTACTCATAAAACTGTGTTATCTATATAATTTTAAACCTGTCTTTGATGCAGGCTGTGGGGAAGAAACATTTAGATTTAAGTGACTACATTTTAACCCCTATTTTGGTGAAATAAACTTGTCCTTATTTGAATTTGGAAAGATCCATTGTAAGCTGGAGGGATTTTATATTTAAAGCGGTCAGTGTGAAGACTTTGGCCTAACTGCACAGACTTCACATGCATTCAAACCAGGCTCTGTACTTATTTTGAATAATAACAAGGTGGTTCATATTTTTTACTAATGTTTCACTTTTGCCAATTAATTTATCAATAATGGTTGAATGACACAAAAAAAGATCAAAACATGGTAATTTATGGAAGACATTATATAATATATCTGTAAAAACAATAAACAAACAAACAAATGATCAAATATCTTTCAACATAATAACAAATATATAAGTAGGACAGATTTGGTTCAATTAAGTTTAACACACTTGAACTTCCTGATAAAGACTAGTACAGTACTTGCTTACTCATCTATCTTCATTCAAACCAAAACAACTTATATTTACATGTAGTAGCAGAATACTTACAAAATAACAAATTATTATGACACTTTAAAATGATTCGGGACTTTACCTATTCTGAAAAGGTGATAAATTATCTATTTTTAGATAAAATGTGCACAACAGTAGAAATGAATTGAAAATTTGAAAAGAAAAACATATCCATGTTTAAACCCTTGTAAATCGGCTGAAACCCATAGTGTTTAACCTTTGCCAAAAGTATAAGAGCCAGGCCAGTTCAAACATGAGACTTTACAGACTGACTTGGCAGCTGAATTTTTGTTAAAATTTTTAATCAACTGTTCAAAACTCAAAACAGGACAATTAAATCCATTAATACATACTCATCAAGTTAAGGGTTAAAATTAACAAGAAATAATCTGTCATTACAAGAAATAAAATGTCTTATTGTTTAATTGTTTCAATAATTAACATAATAAAATGCACAATATTGTAGTCACCTTTATAGTTACATGATACTGCCTAATTTATGTAACTTGACAATCTACAATAAGAATTACACAAAATATACTATATATTTTTTTCAAAACATAGATGAAGAAGGATAAAACTTTTGTATGAAAATACAACAAATCTAAACTCCATTTTAAGTATGTTTAACAAAGATTTCATGGATGCAGCACCCATTTATTCTGAACTCTTTCTATTTAGGTACATGTACTTAGATTTATTTAACAAATATTCTACTGATTACAGACAGTTAAAGCCTTTGATACCAAAAGGTAATATAGATTAAAGACCAATAAACAAAAGACAATATGAATAGATAATTTGCTGTGGTGTCAGGTTTATAAAGTAGATTTATAATGTAAGACACTTAACACTTGTATTTGTAATTAGATAATCATAAACATTTTCCATATTTTTTGTTGTTGACTTTTTAAGTAATTGCAAAAATCAAATTATCATACTGAGGTTTTACTTTTTATTGAATAAAAATACATTCCTCAATTGGGTCAATGCATCTCTTCCTGAAGAGTAACCACAACAAATAAACTTTACTGTGAAATATTAATTGCTTTAATGTTTTACATTTCATTTATTATGATAGATTTGCTAACTTCTTTAAACCTTATGAACACAGATTTTTGTCTTTGTAAAGATGTAATAGAATATGATGTACAGTATGTACTAATTGACAATATACATATCTCATGAGAGGTTTATAAAACAGGTTAAACTTGAAATTAATATAATGTATGTATGTAATGTATGTATGTATGTATGATTTTAACAATGTCCGGTTTTGCCTGTAACAATATTCTCTGAATGGTTGTGAAAAAAAGCATTATGGCTGGTCAAAACTAAAATGTTTGACTGTAAAAAAAAGTAATATAATTTAACTGTTTTTTGATTGATGCTTATCAAGTTAGAAAACACAGAGTGAAGTGGTTTGTCCACAAATACCTGTGATAGGGTCTTTGTGATGAACTCATATTAATGATTTTCAAATAGTTCAACAAACAACACTGTGACCAGTTCATACGAATTCCAAACCATGTAAACTAAAGTATGATATCTAAAATGAGGTTAAATTACTATGAATTTCATCATTTTGTTCAACACAAACAACTATTTATACCAATATGCTATGCAAAACTTTTTGAAATTTCTTTATTTCAAGTTATTTAATGGATAATTTTTAGGTAGTGATAAAATGAATGCAATATAATAAAATATTTGTAAAATTGTGTTACATGTTTGTAAAGCTATAGGCAAGAAACAACACAACATACATGCATTAATAAAAATAATATTACACAATATGTATACTTCTCTAAACCTGAAATAATGCATCCTAAGGTTTTTTGTAAAACTGTCCAATGATTGTTAAATAATGCTTCTAAGTGATAAAATATGTGTAAAAATAAGGGATTTCAACAGGTTTTGCCAATTTATATCATCTGCCCTATAACTTATTTTAAAAACAATATAACTGCCCTATTTCTTGTTTAAAAAATTGTGAAGATGCAAAAATAAAAATGTGAAGATGCAATGATTTTTCATACAATAATTACATTACATTGATATAACATAATAAAACAATACACAATACAGCTACATGTATCATAATGCATTTATATACAATATGAAAGTAAAAATAAATAAATTTGACCTATTTACAAAATTAATGATTGTTAAAAATTATAAAATGAATCCATTTCTTTTTAGCTAAATCTTTTGACCCTTAGGCATGCTGGCTACGACTGATTCTACCCATGTCACCAGTGCAGACCAATATCAACCACAACAAGTATTCCGATCATGGTCTGCACTGTTTGCTATTCAGTCAATATATATATTTTGAATATTTTTCTTAACATTGATGAATGGTTTTGTTCAGATTGAAAAATGGACAAAATATTTAGTTTGGTAAGGTTTAAAAAAAAATTCTTTGAAGCTGAACAATCAGTAATCTGCTTTAATTTTACAAAAACCAATTGACTTTCCATATGAATATAAGTATAAAAAGCATGCCCTCTGCTATCACTAATATAAAAATATATTTCAAAAATGTCATATGTCATTTTAGTATTATTATAAGGTAAATGTTCAGGGGTTGATTGTGAAGTGGCGTATTCTATTTCACCCATTATCTATACTGATACACCTTTATAACCTGTCAATATTTGATTAATACATTTAACAAGGAAAGCCAGGGCTCTACTGGTTTTAAATACACACATTTTAAACCTTGTAAATTTTAATATAACAATGCAATTATCTACCAACCTACTCACTATAGTAGTCATGTGAATCACAAATGTAAGAGTATTGACATTGTTCTTATTTACACTTATAATACATTTCAGTGTACTAATTGCATGCATAACATAATTATGACACTTGTTTTAGTTAAATACAAAAAATTGAATATCAAATACTTTGACAGTTAAAGTCTGCTCATGCCAACTGATTTTACATCTATGTAACCAGTGCAGACCAAAATCAGTTGGCACATCTCGGATCATGGTCTGCACTGTAAGCTGTGTTTTGAAATTTTCTCTTAAAATGATAAATGGTTTAATCCAGATTGCATGATGGAAAAATCTGTCTTACATAATTAATACATAATGGTTATAGTACGGAAATATGAACAAAAAATGTTTGCCATTTGATTGCAATTGGTACTAATGTACAAGTTTGTTTGGTTTATTTCTTCTTAATATAATCAATCTAACTTTTATAGTTAGAAATTAAATTTATGCATCAAGTTGAGTAATGACACTGTGCATTTAATCATTACTTTAAAAAAAAAAAATTATCAAATAGATGTGGTTGATAAGTGTGCCTTATTAGCATACAGTATATAATTATCTGTAAAACAAAAGAAATTTAAATCCTTATGTAAAAACACTTTCTGTGAAATTCAGTAAATAAATTCAGTTTCGTTTATAATCATATAAAAAACAACTTTATTTATTCACTGGATTTCCAAGAAACATCTTTTTTACATTATCTATAAATACAAACTTAAGGTATATCAAATGGCGGTTTTATCATTCATTCATATTTGTGAAATATTGTTATAAAAGTTTATGATAAACTAAGTGTTAAAGAGACTCCACTGAGGTTTTTTGACATGATGGGACTGAAAATATTTTTTTCCAGATAAATGTACCATTTGATGTAGGTTTAGACCACTAATCTTTGTGCAAAATTTCAGATCATTTACCCATTTCGTTTTTACAGAATAATTATTCAAATTGTAAAAATTAACCCTAAATGAAAATCGTGTAAACACATTTCACTCAAATCGGGCTAAGAAAAGCATAAAATATGATTTTCAATTTATTTCAAAGTATATTTCTTAACTATCTTTGCATATATTTCTGTTTAAAGTGCCCCAGCTCATTTATTTAAGAAATTCAAATGTAGTTTTTTTTGGCTTTTAAAATTAAAACCTCAGTGGAGTCCCTTTAATAATGTTTCTAATTAATTTATGGTTAGAAACATAACTCATTGATGGACTGTTAATGTTAACCCTTACCACACTAAATATCTAAAATTGACTCATCCATCTTTCAGTCTGGACAAAACCACTTATCATCTTTTAGAGAAGGTTCCATAATAAGTACTAATTGAATATAAATATCAAACAATGCAGACGATTGCCAGCAGGCTAAAATTACTGCCAGCAGGCTAAAATTACTGCCAGCAGGCTAAAGGTTAAATATATACTGTGATATTTACTGGTATATATTTTACTGTGACTAGACTAGACAATACTTGAGCATTAATAAACTTATCTTTCCCTATATGAACTAATGCTCCAGTTATTTATAAAATTAACTCACTCCCTATATCAATACAATTAACACAGTTCCAACTAACTCCCTATTCAGGCTCAAAATTTTGGAACTCCCTCCCTTTAAACATAAGAAATTCTTTCAAATTACAAGCATTCAAAACTAATTATCTGAAATGGTGGTTCTCTAGTGTGCATCAAACAATCTAGCAATGTTTTAATATCACATATATACATGTATGTCTCATAAAATGTACAATTTCATACTTTGAAATGTTTATATATATATTCATTTTCTTAATGCATTTTTCAATAACTCTACTTTTCTTATATACATAAAGTTTTCGTTGTTTATATAAATCTTTTGTTTGGAACTGTATATATGTATGATTTTTAAAAAGGCTCATAGGGAAGACTGGACTTGCTCTGTAAGTAAAGTCTTTATTAATATCATTACTATAAGAGTCTGTGAATGTAGGCACTATAAGAGGAGGTCATATAAGCAATATGACAGAATAAAATAGGCAGACGAAAAAAGAAGTAAACCAGCAATTACAGCATTAAAATAAATTTGATTAAAGTGTTTTGTCATTTTGAAAAGATAATTAAATGTATATAAATATAACTTTAAAGAATAGGTGACATACATTTAACATTGAGTAAAAAGAGATAGAATAACAATAGTGATTTAGTGTCATGTTTTCATGTCAATGCGAGATTTAGTTAACAATACAAGCTACACACAAATAATGGCAACATCAAAATGTACAAAAATAATGCCTTAAATAATTATGAGTATAATGATCAATGTAAAGGGCATGTATTCCATGAAAATATTTCCAACATGACATTAAATAATCATTTTTTACAAAAATGCTGGTAGTCTGACCTGAGGCTCTATACTCTTAGGTAACTAACTAAATTTTCAAATTTTTATCCCCCAAAATGGAAGTAGGATAAAATCATTCTAGAAAATCAGCAGGTTAGAAGAGGTCTAAAGTAAAAATGAGTGAAATGTTTACCTGACAAACTGCTTTTCTCTATATTTCATACATTTCTTTTGTATCCCACATAAATAATTATAAATATGAAAAAAAAACACCTTCTCTCAGACAGAGTGATGATATTAAAAAATACAAAAATGTATACATATTTTTACATCTGTTAATAACACCTGGCAATTTTTGTGTGATTAACCCTGTTTTAATTAATGCATATTATATACATGTTTTATGTTATCATTGGGTTTTTTTTACCCTGTTTTAGATAAAAAGTTCTCTTTGGATTGTTTGCATAACTCTTGGTTACTTTTTACAAACCAATTAACATGGCAGTTGCATGTGTCTGACAAAATATCTGATATCTTCATTAAGATACAAGTAAAATATCAAAAAAGCTGTAAATATTACATCATACCATTCAATTATATAAAAGTATGTGCAAATAAAATCATTCCTTCCTTGTCATGGTTAAACCATCAAATACTGCAAAATACTGTTTTCTAATAGTTGTTTCTTAAGGTAGAAAACATACAAAACTACAAAATAGTTGACTGTCAGTAAAATATCTAAATTCCTAGAAATAAAATTTCATCAAGACCCAACAGGCTTTCTCAAATACCTATCAATTTTACACCTCTGACCTAGCTTTTTATACACCTTTAATCCTCCCTTTATAATATAAAATATATCTTTCTGAGAGAACCTTAGCTTATTTTTCCCTGCCTTCAATTTAGCAAGTATATTTCTGTTGGTTTGAAACATGTACAGTTTATCTTCCTGAATACACCCACAGTGGCCTTTAGTGTAAAGTTTCATTTTTGCCCCCCTCAAGGCAGAAGGGTCCAGAAAAAGGACATCAAAAATAGTGTTGTTCCCATTGATAGCTACATCTCTGATGAAGAGCACATTTTCTGCAAAATAAAATGTACAAATAAATGTTAGTACCAATGAATTTAATCAAGCAGCACAGTAAAAGTTAGCATCAAAACAATATAATTGTCATAGAAAGGCTTAGAGGTTAAGCTCATGTGCCCCTCACTGCTGTGGGTTTATCCAGCTAGGGACTTTGGATTCTTTCATGTGGGCAAGCTTTCCTTGGTGGCTTTAGTCAAGTGTCAAGTGCAAGATTTATCAAGTCTAGGACTTAATGTCTGAATAAAATCAAGTCCTAAAACATAACAACGTAATACAATAAAAATATATTTCAAGGAAACAGATTGACTGTTATAATGGTGATTGACCAACAGTTGATATTGAAAAAATGTTAAAGATAAAATATAATCTGCCTAAAATATTAAAAGATAAATTGAATGTTGCAGGTAAATTCTAATGGATATTTACAGAAGTTCCCTTAGTCCATGTGAGTTATTTATCTTTCATGCGAAGTAAATTATAAAATTGAAAGGAATAATTACAAATGTAAACTTATTTTCACTTTCATCTGTTCACTCACTATATACTCTTCGATTGGCAAAGTAACACTTTAATTTAAGCAAACTGAAAGCATGTCAAGTATGTAAATATTTAGAACAAAAAATGGCCAGGTAATTGTTTAAAAAAATGACTCACCAAATTTTTTTACACATTTTTCCGGAGGCTTCATGTAAGTGGCACATGATGGGCAAGCATGCCCTTTTATTTCCCTTAATTGTTGATTTGTCTTTGTCAATGACTTCACTCTTTCTTTAACTTGCTTTGTACTTGTAGAAGTTAATGTTACTATATGACCACTGATACAAGTCTGAAATTGAATAAGAATTTCAACATGACTGTAATAAATTAAGGGACCAATAAAACATTATCAAAATCAATTAGCTGATGAGAAAGTGTTATGAATGAGTTGATAAAAGCCATAAAATGGTAATTGTATTTCATGAAATTGAATCCATTTTGTTGTAATGATAATAATTATGATTATATATCCTAAACTAAACACTGTATCAGGATGTGAAACACCAGTTAGCTCAATAGGCAGAGCGTAGGACTGTGAATCTGGTGATCAGGGTACGATTCCTGGACAGGTTCACTTTCATTGTGATCATGAAATCCTTTCTATGGTCATTTGCACTGTACCTCTGCTCTATACAATTGTCAGGAAATCATTAATTATTTCCAAGCTTCTTCAAATATAACATAGAAAATTTGCATCCAAAATGCAATAAGAAGTGATCAACATAAAAGTAATCTTAAAAAGTGGCTTATCACTTAAATTATAATCACATATAAATCATAAATACCTGGTTTTGTTCTGTTTCAATGATCTTCCCTGCACAGCAGACCTTGTTGCTATGGGAGTTATATGTCTTCCAACCACAACACTTGTTGTGACCTGGTTCTTTCCTCACTGGTACATACCTAGATGACTGTATATTGCAGCAGATATATGAGTTGTTGATCAGCTGTGTCCCGCAACATTCTAATCCGCTATACCGGCTATAAATTTCTGTGAAAAGTATAAAACATTACAACTTAAAAATTCCTAATAAGGTGGATACAGGACCCATTTCTAATTAGGTAAAAAAAAAAAAACTGCTGAAAAGCTTAAATCTTTTTTCAATTTTTTCTCCACTTTTCGACAGGGAGCTAGTGTAACTTGGCCGACTTGTTGGCTTTCACTAAACTTTTGTTAAGGTCAATTTTCACAGAAACTATCAACACTATTTACATTAAACTTGGTATGCATGTTTAATCTCAAAATGTTTCGCGTTTTTCATAAGGATGGCATTTTCGGGGAGACAAACTTAAAAAACAGAAATTCATTCTGGTGACTTATTTCTTTGCAAATAATGTTATTTGCATTTAAAAACATACATAGAGTTAAAGAATTGTGTGATTAATGATTGACCTTACTATCTGAAAACAAGTTCATTGTTTAAATTAATAAATAAATTTTAAATGTAACAAATAAAAAGTAAATGTTTATCCATATAGATATTACTATAGTAGTCTTGATGTCATATGTAAATGTATAAGTTAAATAAAAAATTTCTTCTTCTTTTATTAGCTATTGTACTTTTAACAAAAAATAACACCTTCCTTTTAAAGGAGTTAAATAACATCCATTTAAAGTAAAATTGTCAACTGTAAATAACATGTATTATACATGTATGTTTTTATTCCATCTGTAAATAATGAATACTTTTAATCAGCAAGACCAATTTCAAAAGGGAAATTTTACCTTAAAATGTGTATCATTTAAGCACAGGTAAAAGTTATGCATAACTACATCATAATGATAATCTATGTAGTCGAAGCTTTAAATGTTCGCGGATTTGTAAAATACAACTTTTTTGCTGATACAAATATTCGCAGAAATGTACCTAGCCTTAAAAGCACCAACTTAGAAAGTACGATGTAATTTCCAGGAATACAGTATTATTATATATTGTATAAATATATATTGTTTAAACTTACGATTGCCACCACAGCACAACATAGAGGACTCAATCTTCTTATTGTTACAACACACATGTTTATTGAGGTCAATAAACTCTTTCCCGCAGCACATGACATTCATGTTTGGATGGGCATGGTTGACTACACCCTCACAACATTCTGATTGAGTTCTTTTATTGTGTGGATCATAGATGGCTGAAAAATTCGTTATTTGAGCTGCGTCACTACAAAACCAACATAATGGGTTTGCGACCAGCATGGATCCACCCAGCCTGAGCATCCGCACAGTCTGATCAGGATCCATGCTGTTCGCTTACCAACTCTATTACAAGTAGAGAAACTGATAGCGAACAACATGGATCCTGATCAGAATGCGCAGATGCGCAGGCTGGTCTGGATCCATGCTGGTCGCAAACCCATTATGTTGGTTTTGTCATGACGCGGCTCAATTGTTTTTTGAAATTATCAGATTTTTGACTGCAATCATTAAAGGAACTCCACTCAGGATTTTTTGACATGTGTGGTGTAGAAATAATTTTTTGAGATAAATGTTCCATTAGATTAGGCAGTAAAATAGTTATACATTACATTGTTGTAAGGAATTAATGAATTATATTTTATGAAAAGGAATAGTTACTGTAAAACAGAATTGTATAATCTAAATACATGGGCATATAACCTTTCAGGGCATATAACCTTTCAACAAATTTTTTAACCAATTTACAATACTGCAAACTTCCTGTTTATGATTTAAGGTGAATATGAAATGACTTCATAAATCGACAGGAGCTGTGTATATGTTTTATATAAATAACTATTATCCAATGAAAAGTAACATTACAAACATGCAGTGTTATAAGCAATACTTACAATTGCCACATGGTAGGAAGTTGTTAGGAACCACGTGCTTGCTGTTCCCAGATTCAGTGATATGCTCTATATCATTATCAATTACCTGATCTCCCAAGCAAGAATAGTCAGGGGTTATACCTATGTACTTCACAATAGTCTCATTTGGTGAAGGTTTTGGCATAAGCTCGTATGTCTCTGAAATTTGGTGACAATCAAAATAAAAATATATTCAAGGTATTACTCAGGAATGACATGAAGGAATTACTTAAATATCACTTAGTTTGCTTAAGTTTTCAAGTCAAAGTTTGTCATGTCATTGTGATGTGTAAACTAAATAGTTACTTAATTTCATCTTTTGAATTGTGTACATGTTCTGACATGTATTTACGTAAATTAAGTAGTTACATGTTTGTAGGCATAGGTGTACTCAATTTCAGCAAGAGTCTAAAACAAAATTGAGCTATTAAAAAACACATGTGCTGTACACAGTCATTGAACTTGAGCTCTCACTTTTGGGATAACAGGGAAAGGCATATATCCAACACACAATACATTACATTCAATATTGTAACCAATATATCCAACATACCATACATGTACATTCAATATTGTAACCAATATATCCAATATAATATGCATGTACATTTAATATTGTAACCAATATATCCAACATACCATACATGTACATTCAATATTGTAACCAATATATCCAATATAATATGCATGTACATTTAATATTGTAACCAATATATCCAACATACTGTACAATGTACATGTACATTTAATATTGTAACCAATGTACCCAACATACCATACAATGCATTACATTTAATATTGAAACCAATATATCCAAGATACCATACAATATGTACATTTAATATTGTAACCAATGTACCCAACATACCATACAATGCATTACATTTAATATTGAAACCAATATATCCAAGATACCATACAATGTACATGTAATATTGTAACCAATATATCCAACATACCATACATGTACATTCAATATTGATTGTAACCAATTACAAACACATGATAGAATACTAGTCTACTAGTCTAAAAACAGTTTTTGAAATTAGTCAGTCCAAATAAGATCAAAAGCAAATATACTATATTTATAAATAGGATTGAGTTATTACCCTAAAAAACCAAGCTTAATCTGTTTCTTTCTAGCATTTACATTTGATACATCAAATATAATTTGACATGTACATATATGCTTATATTGTTAAGACTTGTATTAATACACCAATTGAATATTAACCCCTACCTTTTTCACGTCCTTCACAGCAAATAAACTTTGACTGGTCAAAAAGATCACTGCCACATTCACCTGTAAGTTCGCCTTTTGGCCTAGGTTGTCTTTTGAAGCATTTATGAGTGGCTCTATTTATCAGATAAGGACCACAGCACTTGTAGCCATCTCGTCTTCTATGTACATTAGCACAATAACCTCCTGATGTATAATATCCACAGCATACCTCATCACGACCATATACAACTTCTCCACAATCATATTTACTGCAAGCTAGTAAAGATCAACATTAAGCATTAACAAGGCTCAATAACTTAAATGGACTTGTCCATCCTTCAATTTGGATTTCACTTAATCATTTTTATAGAAAATTTGGAAAAAAAAAAAGAGCCGCGTCATGACAAAACAAACATAATGGGTTTGCCACCAGCATGGATCCAGACCCGCCTGCGCATCCCAGCAGTCTGATCAGGATCCATGCTGTTCTCTATCAGTTTCTCTACTTGTAATTGGGTTTGTAAGTGAACAGCATGGATCCTGATCACACTGCGGGGATGCGCAGGCTGGTCTGGATCCATGCTGGTCGCAAACCCACTATGTTGGTTTTGTCATGACGCGGCTCATATATTGAGTGAATAGCGAACAGTGCAGACCCTGGTCCGATGGCACAGATGATCTAGTTGATCATGGCCTCCACTGGTCACACAGGTAGCAGGCTTAGGTTTAAGTATTATTTCAATTATAACCTATCTCTGCTGAAATTGTTCTGGGCTTATAATTATATGTCCTTGTTCAGCTCAGAATATTTCAAAATTATTATAATATTCTGTGTCTTCATCTGAACCCTTAACTTGCTGAATATTTTAAATGGACTTGTCCCCCTTCCATTTTTGGGACTGTCCATTATCAATTTTAGGGATATCAATTTAAATATTTAAGGTTTGTCAGGCAACAGATTAGAGCCTGGATCGACTGCATTGATGTTGGAGCTGGCCTGGCTCTATACTGGTGGCAAAGGCTCAACACTTTTGGTTCACTTTTGGTTAAAGGTCAATTTCAATGTATAACATGGTGAAACTGGCATACCATTATAGCTGTTGGCATTTAATTAATATAATGCTTTGAATTAACCCTTTGCATACTGGAAAAAATTGTTATGTGCTAAAATGTTACTAGCTTAATTGTTGAATTTTATCCAAGTTTCTGGAAATCAAAAACAAATATTAAAGGGCCTCTGTCAAACAGCATTCATATATACAATCTGGGACATACGTTATCGTATGTCCCAGATACAATGGATATGTCTGGCATGTCTTGAGGTCATCTTTGTTGTATATCCCACAGTCAAATGCATTTTTTATTCTCCATTGAAAAAAACGTAATTTGCAATCATTAATTAAAATCACCCCTTCCCTGCCCTATCCTCCATACCTAGCATTGCCCTTCCCTAATTGTTGACTTCCGGGCTGGATGCTGTCAGCATAATCATTCCATTTTTTCCATGAATGTTACTTATGTGTAATAAATTTAAGGGCTCGTAAAAAGAAAATACTAAGCAACCCTAATGTAAAGACATTCATTATTGAACGCAAAGTGCACTTACCTTTTTCTGCCTTATTATAAATCTTATTATTGCAGCATATATGCTTATCTGAGTAGAAATAATCTTGACCACAACAAGTTGGAGCAGTGGAATTAGGGAGGCGAGATTTTGATAAATCGATCAGCTTCCCTCCACAACAAATCTTTTCGTTTGTTGAGAAAACTACATGTGTAATTGATTGGTTCCTTTCTGAAATGTTAAGTAAATCTATCCATTAGAAATAGAAATAATAATTCAGTAATTCTTATAAATGTCATTAAATAATAGTCTGAACCCTGCTGTTTATCTAAATGGACTTTTCAGTCTCAATATCTGGAACATTCCATTTATAAATTTTTGGGATATCATGATAAATAATCAGCTACCAGTATAGAACCAAGTCAGATTGCACAAATATTCAGAATGACTACGCTTTTTATACAGGTGCAACAATATGGTGAAATCCATATTGTGATATACATGTATTGCAATACAAGAAACCCATAAGAAACCCATACCCCCCCCCCCCCCCCCCCCCCCGAAAAACTAAAAAGTTGCTTTTTATTTTAAAAAGTTCATTAAACTTAATGAAAACCTTTTATATTCAAATAATGAAAAAGTAATGTTCAGAACTTTTAATTTAGTATAATCAAACAAATAAAACACAAATATCAATGTTGTGTTTTTGTCTGCATTGACAGACTGACTGATAATTTGTAAAATCTCTGAATCTGAAGTTACGGCATCTTTTTTTCCAGCTATTTACTGGTGACTGACAATTCCATAGGTTGATTTCCTTTTTTTTTAAAGAAATAAATAGAGCACCAGGTATTATTGGTTCGGATTATACTAAGAAGTTAGAAATTGCCAATCGTCACTGGTGTGGTACTGGTACTCTGCCTGACATCCAGACAGCAGTCATCTGACGATCATGACAATCTGGACCCAAAATAAAGAATCTAATTGAGTTATTATTAATATATGAAAAACAATAAACAGAAGAGAAGAAAAATCATCTTACTACCTTGTAGACCACAGCAACTCTGTTGGACGCCATGTTTATCAGTTTTATCATAAATGCCATTGCAGCAGATTTGTTTTGATTTATCTATTGTGACCATTGCTGTACCATTGAAACACCTGGGGAAATCTACAAAATAAAGCAGCTGACAGTTGATACATTATGGATACCAGTGACAGTGACTCTGACAGATATCTCCAAAACTGAAAAAAATTTCATTTTAAATTTGATTTTTTTATACACACTATTCAACAATGTTAACCCATAATGCTTAAATATGCAGTACTGACTATTATCATTTACCAATGAGTAGACATACTGATCTAAATGTACCCTCAAAACAAATAACCTTTGTTGAGGATTTCAATTATAAACATACAAACATATCAATTTTGGCATGATTGTGACAAAAGTCTCTCAAGTCTCTTTACTGGAATTGAAACAGTACTAGAGGGTCTTTCAAATAGAAAGACAATGAAAACATAGCTATCAGTCAAGTGACTCGAACAAATGATGTCAGTTTTTGAGAGCTGACAATCTGAGCTGTAAATTCAGGTTACTTCTTTCATGCTAAAGGCAATCAACTGGTAGATACATCAGAAAGACGCATTAAATAAGAAATTAGTACATGTACAGGGTTGTCGTCGATGGTCGGGTGGATCCTGTGTCTTGGTGTACCAATATTTTGGCAAAAAAAATCTAGTCCTTAGCAGGAAAAACAACAAAATAAAACAAGAGGGCCGTGATGGCCCTGAAATCGCTCACCTGTATATAGGCTCCCGGTATACATTTTTACCCAGGGGCTTTTATTTGAACAAGCTTGGTAGACACTCACTTGAACATAACTCATGCTTAATATCTAAATTCTAGCTCTTTGGGTTTTATTTGAACAAACTTGGTAGACACTCATTTGAAGATGTTTCATGATAAATATCTTAGTTCTAGCTCTAAGAAGATTTTTTAAGTTTTTACACATACACATAAAGGAAAAAACAATAACCCCCCCCCCCCCTCTGGGTGGGCCAATTTTGTCCCCAGGGCTTTTATTTGAGCAAACTTGGTAGACACTCACTAGTAGATAATTCATGCTTAATATCTAAATTTTAGCTCTTTGGGTTTTTAACAGAAGATTTTTTAAGTTTTTACTATATACATTTAAGGAAAATCAATGATCCATAGGGCCGGGTCAATTAAATACCATGGCCCTTATTTGAACGAAAATGGTAGACACCTTTTAGAAGATGTTTCATGCTTGATATCTTAGCTGTAGCTCTTAAGGTTCTTTAAAAGAAGATTTTTTAAGTTTTTACTATATACATAAAGGGAAAAACAATGACCCTCTGGGGCGGGGCCAATTTTGACATAAGGGCTTTTATTTAAACAAACTTTGTAGACAACCACTAGAAGATGCTTCATGCTTAATAGCTAAGCTCTAGCTATTTGGGTTTTTTGGTAAAGAAGATTATTTAAGTTTTTACCCGGGGGAGGGGCCAATTTTGACCCCAGGACATTTATTTGAACAAACTTGGTAGACAATGATGTTATGCCAAATATATAAGTTCTAGCTCTTACGGTTTTCTAACGGTTTTTTACGGAATGCCGTTAGGGCCATCGCCTATGAATGTGTTGATCTGAAACGCGATAGTCGATAACACGATGATGAAAACGCGAAATCACGAAACTACGATGGTGAAAACGCGAAAGTACGATGATGAAAACGCGAAAGTACGATGATGAAAACGCGACAGTACGATACTACGATGATGAAAACGCGATAAAGTATCGTGTTTTCACCATCGTACTGTCGCGTTTTCACCATTGTAGTTTCGTGATTTCGCGTTTTCATCATCGTACTGTCGAGTATCGCGTTTCAGGTCAAACCATTCATAGGCAATGGCCCTAACGGCATTCTGGAATGCCGTTAGGGCCATCGCCTATGAATGTGTTAATCTGAAACGCGATAGTCGATAGTACGATGGTGAAAACACGAAATCACGAAACTATGATGGTGAAAACACGATAGTACGATGATGAAAACGCGATAGTACGATGATGAAAACGCGATAGTACGATGATGAAAACACGACAGTACGATGGTGAAAACGCGATAGTACGATGATGAAAACACGACAGTACGATGATGAAAAGCGATAGTGCGATGGTTAAAACGCGATAGTACGATGATGAAAACACGACAGTACGATGATGAAAACGCGAAATCACGAAACCACGATGGTGAAAACACGACAGTACGATGGTGAAAACACGATAGTTTATCGCTTTTCCATCATCGTAGTATCGTACTGTCGCGTTTTCATCATCGTACTTTCGCGTTTTCATCATCGTACTTTCGCGTTTTCACCATCGTAGTTTCGTGATTTCACGTTTTCACTATCGACTATCGCGTTTCAGATCAACACATTAATAGGCAATGGCCCTAACGGCATTCCGTAGTTTTTAAATGAAGAGATTATAAGTTTTTTCTTTCAGTTGCCATGGCAACCAGAGTTCTGCTTGGAATTTAGTTCTTTGAACAATTCCAAAGTTATATTCCAAAGTTGATTACCAAAGGAACAATCCTGTGAAGTTTGGATGAAATTGGCTTAGCGGTTTATGAGGAGATGTAGTTTAAAGTAAAAAGTCCGACGGACGCCGGACGAAAAGCGACCACAAAAGCTCACCATGTCACTTTGTGACAGGTGAGCTAAAAAAACACACATAAAAACAAAATTAACTGGTCCCTTATACATGGCGGGATAACTATTATAGAAACATGACGCTAAACAACTGGACACTGTTAATTGACCAGGTACGTGTAGTGTTATAATCCCGTAAAATACAAATGGCGGATTAAAACCAAGGGAGGCAACTTGACTTGGTCTGCTAAATTATATTACAAAGATTAACGTGTCTCGCCAACTTGTTACTTATCGACTTTCCGCTTGAGAAGAAAACATGCTACTAAGCGGGGGCGCGCGACGAAGTTTTATTTATTAAACTTCGCCCCCATTTTTTTTTTTAAATCTCGCTCCGCGCCCCGAGGGGTGAAGATTTATTAATTAAACTTCGCCACTCGCTCTTGCTCATAATTAGCGCGTTTTCGCTCCGCGCCCCGCCATTTGAACTTGTTAATTCTCAACTTTTGACGGGGTCGCGGGACGAAAACACCCTAAATGAGCGCGGGGGGGGGGGGGGCGAATAGCATAAATCAACCACCATAGAAACTTACGAATCGCTTAATTATTATTATCATGTTGCTATTTAACAATAACATTAAAAGATATACTAGCTCCATTTTATAATTATTATATTTGAAATTACTCATAATTGCTACACAGTCTCTCTTTAAATATATAATAAACGTGTTTTGGCTTCACACATAGTAAGTATATGTTATGTTTTTAACTTTGAACACAATATGAATATATATATGTTTACTGTAGTGTCCCTAAAAAAGGCAGTTTTTGTTTGTTTATTTATTTATTTTTTATTTCATTCATTTTTTTTATTTATTTATTTATTTATTTATTAAAGATAAGTATAATTAAATAGTATACAATAGCCCTACAACTTTGACGTTGCTATGAGGTATTTTGGCACATTTTTTGACCATCATAATAAGCCCGTCAGGTCTAATATATTGCACAAAGTATACAAGTTCATATCTGTACTATTAGTACTTGATTTTCTGCAATGACTTAATATTTTTGTTTGTCTTATTTTACAGCACTCGTCCAGAGCGAGAAAGTACATTTAATTACTCTGGCATTTACATTAACACAAACTCTGCAGTTATGGAAAGGGTAAAAAATAAATATTGTGATTGAACACGTTTGGTGTACATGTACCTAATACTAGTAAATAAATTTATAGTGGTATATATATACATATGTATACATTCATCGATAACACGTATATTGTACAATGTTTGGCCTTGATTTTATCTGGGACACACAAGTAATTTAATGGTACATTGATTTAAAGCTTTTTAAAACAGAACGAAATGCTAAAAAAGTACTTCAAAAAAGTAACTTGCCATTTGGAGCGGCTATCGCCTCAATACTGCAAAATGCCACATATACCGCTACACAAAATCTATGGAGAAAAAAAATTAATATAAACATATTTTCTATTTTTATCTTTGTGTACATGAGATAAATACAGCAAAATTGACGGGGGAAAACCCAATACTTTACTTACTTATATCTGAACGATGGCGTGGTAAAGTGTACAACGTCAATATAATTTAAAAGCTTTACTTATTCACAAAATCAATCAATTAATTAATCGATCAATCAATCAATCAATTAGGTAGTTAACAGATTACCTAAAAAATGAATTAAAATAATTAAAAATTAGGACATACTGCAGTGTTTGACATTACAATGAAAAAGTATCTAAATAATGTATGCTGCTACTTACATGTAAGGTTGCTTTCGTTCGCCGATGCGCCGAACTGTTAATTTCCCCTTTTTGGTCATTGTCTGTGTCAGCACGACTTCCAGCAGTAAACACGTGTTTATTTAAATGAAGTTTATTTTTATTTTAAATTATATTAAAAGCGTTAAATCTTTCAATCAACAGTATTGCTCTTGATGAAATATTCAGATTTGATTAGATCTTCGTGGTCCGAGATCAGCGTTTGACCGCTAAGTCTCCAAAAACGTATATATATACACCACATACCTTGAATTAGGTCAAAACACGTCATGGAAAACCGAATCCGTAAATGGAAGAAACAAATCATGTCTATAAATAAAAAAAATGCAAATTTATATAAGGCCAACCAAAATAAAACATTGTTTAATTGTGTTAAAAATTTTGACATTAGTTTAAACAGATTTCTCATGAAAATGACAGTCATATTTTTAACTACTATTATTTTTTTTAACCTGAATAAAATAAAAATTTCTTTCCCATTAGTCACTAATTTAGAAACAGCCTTGTATAAATCAAGTCAGTTTTATGTTTTTAAATTCCTTATTTGAGATACTAAAACAAATAATGCCTTAAATGACTATATAAAGAATAATACATTTTATTTGTTTTATCACGAACTTTGGACTTGTACTAGATACACGATGAGAAAAATATATAGCCTGAGCCATTTAACCCCACCATCTCCCCATCAAATATATATGAATTAGTCATAATTAACGCTCTATTTTGCTGGACTGAAATGTTTCTGGGAAATTGTGGAAACAGGATTTTTAAAATCTGTCCGTGAACATGCACCAGAACGTATTTTTCCGCTTGCTTGCTTGCTAACATTAAATTCAAGTCTGAAATTTTGTCAAAAATATGTAGACACTTGTATTTTTTTAAAAGTGCACATAAAATGCCTGGGGAGCATGCATATTTGATATTTTTTCCAGCGGAGGACTTCGAGACCCCTTGTAAGCAAGGGAAGAGTTTTGTTGTTACAAACTAATTAAGCCCAGTCCCAGCCGATAGTTTCTGGATCTTTAGAACGATATCATTTTCAAACTGTATTTACGACAAATAGTAATAATGTCCTAGAAAATAAGGTGCGGTGAGTTTATACGATAATACGATTATAAACAACCGCAAAATGACCTTGCCTTGTCAGTTTATTTAAAAGTTTTGTATAACTATACCATTACGTAAGTTTGAATAACAAATAAACAGTGTGTAACACAACATACACTGTAGAAGTGATATTTGGCGTCATCCCAACGGTACTGTTGGGGGAAGACCTTGTACGTAATTTTTCGGGTATTTTCATATTATATTATACAAGTTAGTAAAGTTAATACATGTTAAAAAATCAGTTTTAATGTCAATATAGTATAAACAAAATAATGACTGAATAAAAAGAAAGAAGGAAAATATCAACATCTAACATAAAAAAAATTTTAACCAACAACAAAGAAACAAAAAATAATGCATTATTTATAGTAAAATATTACGATGTAATCATTTTGTTCATGATATTACTAATATTTGAAAGAAAAAAAAACACCCATATTTCCTGTAAATCGTGCGATATGTGATACATGATCTTCTCTCTGCATAGCTTTGAATATCCGTCAGAATTAATAATCAGAATGCACTCTGTTTTCCGAGATAACATCAATCATGAATAATCATATTGTATATCATAATATTTAAAAGTTTTGTAGCATGACAACGTCTCTTTTTAAAAGATTATTTGATATCAAATTTAAACCCTTTGTACTGAAAAAGCCTTTTTTAGGAATACGAGTTATATCATTATAACGTGACCCATTCTGACGTCATCATACTTCACAGGATCTACATTATCATAATCAAATTTAATAAACTCTTTATGCAAAATGTACAGAAATAGTGGAGGGTCCCTTTTGCACATTTCCAATGAAACATTTAAGTGTCCCGTGGTATAGTTCTTCTTTCATTTTATTAGTAGAATCACCATTTTCTGGATAGGTGTCCTTCAACAGAGGAGTCTTGTTTACCTGTCCCTGTAAAATAGGCAGGGCGACAGATAGATTCCACAAAAAGGGTACGATATACACAGTGTAATTAGTAAGTATCAAAATAAAGCAACAGCCTCCTCGGTTGACACATCTAAGTGTAACACGGTATCTGCTCGGTCAGTTTTATATTGAGTTCCCTGTCAAGAATTCGTGATATTTAGACATTAAAATTCACTCAGGTGATTTCTATAGTTGATTAGGCTCAAGACTCAATGCAACACGGTTCATATCCTGTTTATTTGACTTTATTTATACTCGCCATCGGTTGCCTATATGGGCGAGTCCTCCAGAAGAGTATTATAATTATAGTCATTCTATAATTATTTTGGAGGATAGCGCAAGATAGATATAGATAGATGCCCTGGTTATTTAACGTGCCAAGTGTTTAAGCACCTCGATTTAAACTATCATCCGAAAGACTGAATAGTAATTGAAGTTGGCCAGCCTGGGAATCGAACTCACAATGTTGAGATTACCAGTCTTGATTGAGCTATGCGGGCTGGCATATTTTTTATATTATGTGTGTTTTATTTTTATTTTAGATCAACGCCGAAATTCCATATGTCCGAGATCTTAGCGTCCATGTTGGTCCACTCTTGAAGTCGTATCGGGGACGTCTTTTTCATGCTGATCTTCCTTAACCTATTAAATTGTTCATTCGTTGGTGGTTGGTGGAGGTACGACAATGCTGCCAAGGCATCATGTTTCTTGAGGAACCGCTTTTGTTAGCGCCACCCTCCCGAGTAAGTCACGACAGGTCAACCAATCGTCTCTGGTACTTGTGACGACTTGACCTTGATTTGGCGTGTGTTTTCTCCGCGACGTGCACGCCTCGGGAGGGATCAGGAGAAGAATTTTTATATTAGAATGAGGAATCCGCTTATAATACGTGTAGAGTGGCGTTAGGTGATAATTAGTATACCCTTTCCCGCTTATTATATGAAAGAAGACGACAAAGTCATTTTATAAATATTTCAGATGTCATAAATGATTTTCTCTGAAATAAACTACTTTGTTTTTGTTTGTGTATTGTTTGCTTGTGTCCTGATTTTCGAAAATCATAACAAATTTCTTAGAAATGTCACAATTTTGAAAAGAAAACTTCATACGGGCAACATATAAATTAGTTATGCGTTTTTGTGACCATACATATGATAATTATGACAATTAAGCAGACGGAATTTTAAACAAAATGGTCTTTACGGTCAAGTGGAATCAAGTTAAAGGATCATCTCAACATTATTTGATTCATTTCTGCACGTTCATGAAATATGTACATGTACGTGCACATTGCAATGTACGTGTACATATAAACTGGCATTTAACAGTTTCCTTAGATTTGAAGCAGGTTCGTGCGTTGAAGGACAAAAGTAGAAAAAAAATTAATAAAACAAAATAAAATAAAAGTACATATATATGAAAAAAAAAGAAATATTATTAAAGTTATTTAGTACATCTTTAAAGACGGATTTATAAGTTAAACTATACTACTATTACTCATGATCTTGATATTTTTTATCTCTGCCTCATTCCCGGTCAGGTGCAAGTGAACAAAGAATTTAAACTGGCACACTTTTGGATTCCCTACATCCGGGATTGGCTTTGGAGATGACGCCACCGGATATTTTTGTTTATGAACAATATTGTTTTAGTACATTTGATAGCATCACCATGACTTTGTTGTTTTCATATCTATTGACTTCTACACTTTCAGTTTTACATGAAAGTATCTAAAAACGACATATACTTTAAATAATTATGAAAGTCTTTCGGTATTTATTCGATCAAACGCGGACTTTAGGTTTTTTTATTGGACCACTTTTATTACTAAATTCTACCTGACAAGGCTGTTTAGATGAAAATAAAAATAAAAACAAGTTTAAACTAGTTACTATACATGTAAATATATAACATTAGACAATTAATTCAGATAACTCTCCAAACACTATATATTAAAAATAATTTTCAGTTTGCTCGGTGAATAAAATTGCACGTAGAGCTCAAAACGTGTTATTTACATATTTATAAACGTCGACATACATGTAGGTTTTTTTTATGAACAACGTATATTAGATTTTATTGATATAATTATATGATAAGTTTATGTGCTGGGATTGACAAAGTATACAATTGCCTTTGATTTTAAGACGTTTAGAGCACCATATAGTGTCCGTGGTCAATGATCAACTATATACAACTACAACTACAAATATTTTATTGCATTAAAACAACATGTTCCATAGCATTACACTTTTTATACAAATATATGGTATACTGTTACGCTGCAGCTTGGAGGAGCAATTGAACTTCCTCATTGACCGTAATTGAAAAAAAAAAAGAAATTGTTTGCTTACAATGTTTTTGAAAAAAAGAAACAGAATCGAAACACTCCTCATTTGGTCAAAGTACAGATCCTATTATTGTCAAGATTCTACGAAACTAAAAAAAAAGTACCAACAAAAAGACAGTTTCGTGTCAGCCGGCTTAATTAAGCAGTATAAAACAATATAAAAAAATCAAATTACTTTGTTGAACACTAGAAATGCTCGTTAAAATCAGACCAAGGTTCACCATTTAAGTTGCGTGATTAGATTTCATGGAAGTAATTATGCAATAAATACTCAATCCCCATTAAAAAAAAAACTTGCAATAATAATATACATGTATATAAGCCACTTGCAATTGACATTGCGGCCGTCCCTCTTTACCCAAGCAAAGATCGCCACACCCTGCGAGTGCCATATACCACTTGCACTTGACTTACGTACTGATCGACACCTCACGTACAACACTATGGAGGGCGTTCGTTGCCAAAATTCCAGACATGTAAAGTGTTACTTTTTAAAATGACTTTTGAAAATGCGAACTTGTATGCCTCCCTTTTTATTTTTCCCTTTAATTCAATTTTTAATAAAAGGTTCCCGCCTTTTTAAAAAGTTAATTTATCGAAGAATGACAAACATCAAAAACGCAACAATTTTACAAGTTCGTATTCTTCCATTGCATCAATACATACGCATGTTTGCACACTTATATAGATCTGTAAATATTACAAATTGAATGTAAAACTCGAAATACGGAAAAATAGAGTTTAAGAAAACTGTCCAGTTGTCTAAAACTGCAGAGAGAACGTTAACACAGTAACATGTTTAAAAGGACAAAAGTAGATTCACAAACAGTTAAACGATTTTAAGTCAAGCATAACGCCCC